AGCGGTGCACACAGCTGTTGTAAACAACGCGCTCGCCGACCACTTCATAACCGGTTGCGCGCTAGTCCACAATACGCTTGTCAACAAAAATACTCAATATAAAATTGTCACGAAGTTAGATAATGAGAGGGTGCGTAGTGAGTTGTGTAAAATAAATTGGAATTTAGCTATGAAGTACGATAACCCGACAGATGTATTGAATTACATATTGGAAAAATTTTCATATGTTTATAAAAAGTGTACCTATAAAGAAAAAATTAAAGAAAGTAGAAGGCAAAGTTGTAAGTGGATTAGTGATGCAATAGTAAAGATGTGTAAAAAACGAGATGAATTATTGAATATCTGGCTTAAAGATCAAAGTAATTTGCAAAATAGATTATTGTATAATAAGTATAGAAATCTAACGAATAAACATATAAATAATGTAAAAAATAACTATTTCTTGACAGAGATACAAAGTAATTTTCATAATGCTCGTAAAGTTTGGCAAATCATAAACGGGTTGTGCGGTAAAATAAATAACTCGATTGATAACATAATTATAAAATATTTCAAAGCATCGCCCGATGTGATTTCGAACATAATTGCTTATGAATTTCAAAGTAACGTAAATAGCTTGTGTGTGCAATGTAACACGCCAATTCTCAATCCTGTAACTTATAGCAAAGAATGCAATGTATCAATAAGGCTACATAAAGCTACAAATGATGTAATCTTTCATATTATAAAACATTTAAATGCCAAAAAATGCCCAGGCTTCGATGGTATAAGAGTGCAAGATTTGCAACATATTATCAATGAAATTACCCCGGTCATTACGCATTTAATTAACACATGTATTGCCACGTCCGTATACCCCGATCAATTGAAAATCGGAATAATAAGACCTATTCACAAAAATGGTTCATATTCAAATACAAATAACTACAGGCCAATTACTACTATATTGTCATGTATAGATAAAATAATTGAAAGATATTTAGGCCAGGAGATAGGTAGGTTTTTAAAAGAAAATAGTATAATTAATGAAAAACAATTTGGTTTTCAAAAAACTAAAAGCACCTCTGAATTATTATCCAAGTTTAGCAATGAGATTAACGGGTATCTGGACAACCGTGAACATGTACTTGTTGCCTTTATTGACTTCAGTAAAGCATTTGATTTATTAGATTATAAAACCTTATTTACTAAATTAAAGCATAATGGTATACGTGGACCTTTGATGAATTGGTTTGAGAATTATCATCGTAATCGTTACACCGCAGTAAGTATCGCTGGCTCTCTAAGTGATATAATTCTAACCGACAAAGGCACGGCACAGGGTTCGATTCTCGGGCCAACCGAATATTTGTTATATGTAAATGACATGTGTGATGTATTCACTGAGGGATCGGTGTATCAGTTTGCTGACGATACATGCTTGATATCTGCGCATAAAGACCTACGTGAGGCGCAGAGGGTTATGCAGCGCAACTTTGATCTATTGTGTAGCTGGGCCCACGATGTGGGTCTAGTGATTAATGCACAAAAAACTAAAATGATGCATATACATTCACCTTATTTGACATCGCCTTGTGAGCCAGTCATTGTTGCTCATGAGCACTCGTGCTTACATCGGACGGGAACCCTGTGCAGTTGCCAATCATTAGAGTTGGTGTCTCAGCATATGTATCTGGGTCTTACCATAGATAATAAATTCCACTGGGGGCCTCATATTAATAAAGTATGTAGTAAATTAAGATCCTTTCAATCCAAATTATATGTACTTAAATATAAATTACCTTACAAAACACTTAGAACCATGTACCTCGCACTTGCCGACTCCGTGATTGGCTACGGACTAGGTAGCTATGGGCGCACATACAAGACCTACCTCGAAAACATTTATAATATACAATTAAGCATCTTAAAAACAATAGTACCTAGAAAAACTAAACTACAATTTAAAGAAGACGAATGTGGCCTATTTAAACACTGTCAAATATTAAATGTTTTCGATAAAGTGAGCGTATGTGTACTAGATGAGGAATACCACAACCTTGCTAAATTGAAGGAAAATATAAGATTGGAGTCACTACGTCACTTGTCATACCTACCCAATTATAGAATACCTGAGCATACTAATGTATATGGGACGCGGACGTGGGAACACATGCTGCCCCGTATTATGAACAACATACCTATCGAAACCTGTAGCAAGATGAATAAAAAAAATTGTAAAACTGTTTACATAAAATATTTACTGTCTAGCTGATACTCAACTTTATAAATATACCTACATATGTAATTAAATTGTAACCGAGATGTGTCTGGTATACCACAGATAAACTCTTGATGGTTTGTGTGGTATATGAAGGATAAAATGCATGTGTGAATTTTATATTAGACAATAAAAAGAAAAAAAAAAAAAAAAAAAGCTGTTTCTACATCGGTACCGATTTGTTGATATGTTAAAATATTAAAAAACGTTATACATCTGAACGTATCAATTTACACTTTTCCTTTCAAAGTAATTTATTGACTGCCGGTGAAAGGGACCAATGGATTTTGGACATTTTTTTGAGTTTATTGTTACCGTATGACATGTACCACCAAAGTAGACTACAGTACAAGTACAAAGTGGACTACAGCTGCTGTAATCCCTTTTAAATCAAATGAATAAGTCTACAATGCAGAACCATGGCTAGATTCATGACTCCATTTGTAAATCGAATTGCTTACTTAGGTATATAACTATTTAAAAGCAGAATCACTACAAGGAGTAAAAAACGCCTGGTATAAAACATGAATGTAGTTAGGTCTTACCTACCTTTTTGCTCTGCTGCTATTAAAACTCGGATATACTGGGAATTAGGCACTTCAGATTAATTATTTTGGTTATTTGTCACGTTAATAGACTGAACATAATTCTTAAAGGGTCTATTAATTAAAGTGTAGTCCGGAGTTGTTACCAAAAGCGTCATATGTATTTTACTTGTTTGCTATTTTAGTATTCAAAACATTCACGTTAACCTTTCGAAAATAAATTTACTTACATATACATTTTACAATTCTGAATTAAATAAATTGAATTTTATTACTACCTACTTGTTTGTAGCTTAATAATGCACGCAAACAGTATCGAAAATTTGCAGCTAATTTCGTTGGCGCAGAGTTATTTGGCGCGTATCATACATTTCTGCTTTCTTTTCATTTGTTATTTTCTTTTAAAGGATGGAGTTACTAAAATATAGGATAATTATTTCTCGTGGGTCGGAATAAAACCTATATAGCGGCCTATATAACGATATATCACAAACAAATTTATCGATAAAAGTATGTGGTGTGTGGCAAATACACCACATATTCTATTTGGCCGACTTATTTTACTCACTTACGTAAGGGAATTGCTCGAGGAAATTGGAAGTATACGAATATAGAAGAAAAAATACGTGATAAAGGAAGGCAATATGAAAGCCATATTGATTATAAGGATGAATTGGGGAGTTTAAGCTCCATTGCTCGAGCAGGTCTAGGTCGTATGTTTGTAATTCGAGCTGTCGCCGAAACTAGTGCTGTCCACAATGGTTGTAATTAACGGTTATTAAAAAACAAAGACGGCTAGTTTATATTGCCTGATTTTCTTCTCGATAGTTCTACATCCCATCTTACATTTTTAAATGATACAGTGCGACCTGCATTAAAAAACTTGTTCGCCTTGACTTGACTTTATAAAATACCTGATGACTTTTATACGGATGACCGTATAAAAGTCATTAGGTATTTTATAGTCCCATGACTACCTAATGACGAATTACACGTTTACAGTCATGGGACTGTAAAAGTGTAAACACTCCAGTCTCGTGGCTATCTCATGACGTATCCGCTCTTTCCTACCTCTGGAACGCTTTCTGAGCTCTAGAACGAATTATCTTCGTTCTTTTTTGGAATGAAACTGAGTGCTTCGGCACAAATTGGCTGGTCCGACTGGATTAATGACCGGCAGCTAGCAACAGAAGTTCAACACCGATTTTCTTACTCATGTCTCTCAGAGTATTGAAAGTATTATCAGAGATAAGTAGAATCATTGTAAAATTGAGCGGTGCCCGCGGAGCCAAGTATTTTTTATTTTTATTTTGCAAAGAATTTTTGCTTTGTTCTCTGATAATACTTTCAATACTCTGAGAAGCATGAGTGAGAACATCAGTGTTGAACTTCTGTCGCTAGCTGCCGGTTTGATACCATGGCCTCACAGAAAACCGGTATTGAGCAATTTGTTCGTTGCTTTTCACCGAGTGAGGTTACCGGAGCCTAAACCTACTCCCCTTAATTCTGGGGGAGGACTTTTTAGGTACGGACGGTAACACACTTGAGTCGCAGGCGTCTATGGGCAGCGGTAGTTACTTATAATTAGGGATATATAAAATCACGATCACCTGCGATAAATCATATAATTTATAAAACTTATTAACACCTATGACTAATTTGCTGGCTTATTATTATTATTAAGCTAACGCCAGACTTAGACAGTGACAGAGAACGGTCTAAACCTAAAAAACTATCTTTGATAAAAATATTTTTTGATAGATTTTGATGGAATTTATCTTTGTCTATGACCAAAAGACCAAATAACAATCACAGGTAAAATCGCAGTGACAAAAGCCAATCATTTCGTCACATGATTATGATTCAAACTTTTCAATAATTTCAAAGTCTACTTATAATCAGGTGAGCCGTCTGCTCGATTGCCCTGATATACCATGGAAAAAAAACAAACAATCATTCAGGCTGAAATCAATTCGAGCAAAAAATCTGCTTCTGCTAAATACAATTGTAAAGAAACTCCAAATTTTGATTAACGAATAGTTTATTCTCGTCATATCACAATGATTATAAAAATTTGCACTTAAAATTAACAATACTCTCCACGATTCGCATACTGTACTTTAATTAATTAAATAAAATGCACATTTCAAATGCTCAACTTATAATATTTTACTATTAACAATACTTGATTTTTGTCACCTCTTCAGCAGCGGTCTGAAAATAATAATAAAATACAATCTTTAGCAGAAAAAATACGATATAAAGTTAATAACATTACGTAATGTGTAGTAGAACACAATCATAATATTTTTGGACATCTGACACACAACGCCATCTAGTTTCAAACTAAGCAGAGCTTGTACTATGAAAGCTAGACTGACTGATAGAATACTTATATACTCTTTTTTATAAATACATAAGTGTATATCACTTTTTACGATTTCAAATAAAGTAGGTTCAATATTCAGTTTTTATCTTGTTGTATAGTATTATTTGTATTTTGTGTTTTTTAATGTTTGTTACTTATTCTCGATTTTTTTTTTTGCCTTTTTCACTGCCCGATTCGTTTCAAATTTCAAGAAAAAAAACCACAGCTAAGGGTGAAAATAAAGACACGGAGAATACAGTTTATTACAATTCGTTGTCATTTATATTTTTGTTACTTAACTTTTATTAGTAGGTTTCTGTGTTTCAAAATTATATTGAGATCATCATAATTAATCTATTGATAATCTAAGCTATTCTATTGATAACGACTTCTTCACTATTAAACTTGTTAATAAAATGGCTGCCATTGCAGAATATCCAAACAATAAAAATAATAACTTACTTCTTCTGAAATCCAAACTTGCTAAGTAACGTCGGTTGATTGCTAGGTAATGGCGGCGTTTTCTTCAGACTCGTTTTCGGTGCATTATTTCTATACCCATTTATATGTTTACCCATTTTATTTGACTGACAGCTGTACGATGTTTGCGAGTGATTGCTCATCCGTTCAAATACTGGTTTAGGAGGTGATGCTCCAAATGAAGCCTGTTGAGAAAACTTTATTATAAATATATGCACCACAATGTTATATAGTTATCGAGGGTCACCACCCCTATTCATCCCGTGGGTGTCGTAAAAGCCGACTAAGAGAGCAAACTGCGCAGGACAACAACTCTGTAAAGAGAAGTAAACTTGAAACAAACCCTATGTCAACCCGAGGCCTATGTCCAGCAGATGGCTATGAAAGGCTGTTGATGATGATGATGATGAACTGACCTGTGAATCTGTAGGTGTAACTAAATTTTCCATAGGATAAGTATTCTCTATCACAGAATCCTCACTCATAGCATTGTCAAATTGCACATCCAATCTTTTTTTAAATGATTTCAGACTTCTCGGACTCGGTTCTAAAATAGGGCTAGGTGCCTTCACAGGACTGTTTATTGGGTAATTCTCCTTTTGAGAATTCTCCGAAAGCTCTACAGAGCATTCGATATGATTTAAACGATCAGAATTTTCATCTTGCGGAGATTTTTTCACCTTGAAGGGATTCCTGTTTGCCCTTTCTGGTGATTCCTCAATTTCAACACTGTTTTTGGAAACATTATTCTCTGTGGATTGATCTTGTTTACTTGAGAAAAACTTGCTTTGAACCTCATTACCATCCATTACCGTTCTAGGAAATTTACTCAGTCTTTTTAACATGGAATTGGTACCATTTTTCATGCATTTTCTAAACGATCTCTCTTTATTCTCTAATACCGGCGATTTTACTTTATTATCAACTGCTTTGTCATTTATAAGCGCTATGTTATGAGGCCCTTGCGTATATTGAGTCTGTAAGTCGGTTTCTGGATCACAGTCCATTTTAGGTTTCTTACTTGCTGGCTCTAAGCAATACATGTTGGTTAAGGATTGTATTGATAAACTGCAAGAAATAAAAATGGGGAGTTAATATTCACTTAAAATGTAGCCAGTGCCGTCTTTACATTAAGGGCACACGGGACCCATGGCCGCTATCGTAACAGGGGCCCCAAGTAAATGGAGGCCTTTATAGCGGTTACGTGGCAACCCTGAGCCTGACAAACCAATGACATTGCCGAATGTGATAGAAAATGTGGCATTGCCAAACTTTCCAGATAGGAAATGGATAGTTCCAAGTTTCACCACCATCTACACTTTTTTATTCGTTGGTAAGTAAAGTTGGTAAAACAGAGTGTTTAGTCAAGAATAAAAGAAAAATGTGAATTTGCAATTTTTGTCCCTTGTGCAGAACACCCGTTGTATTTAGTCGCTGTTCAGGCTGTTGAATCTTTTTTGTTTATCTTTAAGTCTGAAAGAAAAATAATTCGCAGCAAACGCGTCACTATTTTTGAAGCACCATTAGAGAGCGCACAGTTCCATGTAGATACTATAATCGATACATTATATACACATTTGAAAAATCGATTCTAACGAGTTGACTAAAATGCAATACATGTAAAAATTCTATCACGAAGACATTAATGCATATGAGCTCAAACAGAATGTTTTCACTTGAGGCAGTATTTAAAGAACATAGCAATGGAATTAGCGGATTTGAGTATCTCAAACCTACATAAACTAATAAAGTCTGATAATTTAGAAGAAACTTTACCCAAATGTTGAAGTTGCTACAATAATGTCTCTTTGCATAATGATTACTAATCGTAATGGCAGTCCGTGTAGTGACGGATTAGGAATACAGAATGTCAATACCCCAATTCATCCCGTGGGTGTCGTAAGAGCCGACTAAGGGCGCAAAATAACGCAGGACACCAGCACCTCAAAAAGAAGGAAAACTTGACACAAACCCTATACCAACCCGTCTGGCCAGCGTGGTATAGTAGGCCGAAACCTCCTTTCTAAGGAGAGGCCTATGTCCAGCAGTGGACTATTAAAAGCTGATGATGAATCGTAATGGTATGCGCTCATTTACACAACTAAAAAGAATTAAAAATAAATTACGAACAAGTATATAACAAGAGCGACTAACTTATTCTATTATAGAAATTAATATAAAGAGCGATGCTTGGAGCAAGTGGTTACTCGAGTGGCGACCGCTTTTTTAGCGATGGTTTTTTTTGGACTTTGTTTCAAAGTGATATAGGAGGTCCTTTACCGTAGTGTTGCCACTCTTCAAATTCACATGTATACTAATAATCGTTAAAATAATCGAAGTTATAGAATATTTAAGTTAATATATTTATAAATAAATCTTTTTAGGCAAAATCCCTCATATTTAAGGCACCACAAAAAAAAAACTTTTTTTTTAGATCTGGCTAGTTAGTCTGGTTAGGATGGAACTGAAAAGCCCAAGGTAAAATTATATATCTCTTGTAAAATTCTGACATTTACCTACACACATTGGTAAATACTAAATTAACTAGTATTTTTTTAGATATCACCAATATACAGGCTTTACATAAATTTGTAAAACTGTAATCGATTATTCGAAATCGATATCTCTTAAGAATCGAATATTGTAGTAATCGATTTCTTTGATTCCCCCCTATTCTTCAAACTGTCAGAATTGTTTAAAGACGGCGTTGAATGCAGCCTTCGATTTATTTCGTGTGGTGACGAAGACGAGACGAACACTACGCTGACAACCTCGACGCCGACGTCCACGACTCTAAAAACTAAGCTGACGCCAACGAACACGATGCTAAAAACGACGGCGACGAACACGGAGTCTACGATGAGGAACAAGAGGACGACGATGGAAACTAAGCTGGCGACGACGAACACGATGCCAAAAACGCCGACGACGACCACAAAGCTGACGCAGACGACAACTTCAACGAATATGACGCCAAAAACGCGGATGACGTCGACAACGATCACGGAGCCCAGGCATACGATAATGACCACGAAGCCGACGATGACGACGACTAGAACAGCAAGCTCGTCAAATGTTAATTTTGAATCCCCATTTTGTTACTACCACACAGCAGGACAAGGTTGTGCGAAGGCAGATCGAACCTCGGCAATGCGCGAAGTAATGTCTTCTTCGGCACCTCGAGTTTCAGATATTTTATTTTTACCAATCCTTAATTCAGGGTTAGAAGACAGCCGTGACGCAAGATACCAACGTTAGATCTAATCACGTTTTTTAAGGAAGTTTGAGAATACGGCAGAATTAAAAAAAAACGAATTTTCTCAACTCCTATTCATCCCGTGGGTGTCGTAAGAGCCGACTCAGGAAGCAAAAAGCAGAAGGGACCACGCAGGACAACAGCACTGCAAAGAGAAGGTAACCTTGAAACAAACCCTATATCAACCTGTTTGGCCAGCATTGTATAGTAGGTAAAAACCTCCTTTCTATGTCCAGCAGTAGACTACTGAAGGCTGTTAATGATGATATTGATGAAGTAGCAGCAAGTGTAAAAACTTTATTTTGAACATGATTTTAGTAATACACAATAGAATCCATTTTAGTCTAAATAATTACCTTTCATCCTCTGTCTGTGTCTCAGGTACATATTTACTAACTAAGTTAACCACTTTCTTTCTCGGCCGGGTTGTGGGTGCTACTAGTATCGGTTCAACCTTTTGCACCTTCTTTTGCCACGGTCGGGGTTCCTCCATATATGGTGTAAAGTCTGAACTCCATATAGATGGGTGGCTCGATACACCATTTTCTTTCCAGCTACCTGTTTTCACAGATTCTTTCTGTAATATAAAATGAAAAAAATACTGTAAATAAAACTTAGTGTGGTTAAAACCTTAAGATAATAAGAAATATAATAGCAAAATTCTGCTTGAGTTTGAGCCTCCCATTATAAACTAAAATGTACAGGCCACAAAACCAGGCTTTAATGGTACCTCTAACAATATATTTCTATTAGTGAATATTCTTTAGGTACCAACAAAATTGTGAGTTTTAGATACCAATATTTTCTTGGTTTCAGTACAAAAAAAGGTATAAAACAAAATATACCTTATTCCTGCAGTAATCCGGATGCCAGTCGTCCATTTTCTTTAATGTGAAAGGATCTAGATTTCCAAGGGCCAATTGAAATGAGATTTTAGGGTCTAGTAGTTCACCGGCATTCACACAGAATGCTTGTTCAACATCTGAAAAATGATATGGCGAAATGTTAAACATTCTGAAGTGGAACTGTTCATCAACAGCCTTTAATAGTCCACTGTTGGACATAGGCCTGTCCTTAAAAAGGAGGTGTTGGTCTACTAAACCATGTTAGCCAGACGGGTTGGTATAGGGCATGTGTCAAGTTTTTGTTCTCTTTGCAATGCTGTTGTCCTGAGGGGTTACTCCCTTAGTCGGCTCTTACGACACCCACATGATGAATAGGGGTGGTGACTCTGTATTTATCGTTCACAATTTAATTAATAGTTACTATTTCTTTTATACGTATTTTTGTCAAGTTCATTTTGAAAATCAGTATCATTTTTAATGTAATAATAAAATGTGAAATAAAATAAATGTTAATAAAACACATCATAAATGTCTATTTTTTGAATTTGTATAAAAAAAAACTCCAAATATCCCATGATAATAACTTATAGCCTATTCGCGTTTAGAAAATATTGACTCATCAATGTCCGAAGCCCTGCACCCTGACCGATCAGGTTTCATGCTTTTACGAAACGATAACTTCTTGGAACCTTTAGTTAGTTAGAGGGCCAGGCTTGATTGATGTGGCAGTATTTTCTTAACGCCAATGGTTTATAGTATATATTGCAAAAATTAACTGCATCTAGTTGCAGTCATCTAGATTTAGTTAAAATTCGAAACTGCAGTTTAAAATACAAAATTAAATTGAATGTTACCTTCATCATCAGGTTCAGTCAGCCGCACCATCCGTCTTTCCAAAGGATCATAAACATACTGATGTTTAAAGGTTGCCTCGGCTTTTAAGAAATTCTCCCGATACTCATCCGTCATGACCAATGATAATTTATTAAAAAAACTTGGTAATTTCTTAAGGGCCTACAATTAATTATGTTATCTTTCAGATTTTGTGTTAATTCTAAACCGCCATGAATGGTTACAATTTAAGCTTTTAACAGAAAAAAGGTGCTTACATATGCTGAATAAACCATATAAGATATACATTACATTATTAATTAATAATTATATAGCCACTCTAAGGCAAAGGTCTCTTAAAGGCAAGCACGATTATTTAAAAATTTAATTGAAAAAAACGTTATTTTTGGCTTAGTCTTTGCCTCTTCATCTTGTTGTCGTTATTGTGTTTATTTTTTTCATCTTAGATTTTAATGAACAGCTATTATCAATGGGAATAAAAGCGCTCATATATTTCGGTATCCCATAGTTGCAGAAAACATAAAAAGAAACAGAAATAGCGACTTACATTAGCAAAATTAGAGTCCTGTGTAGCAGTGACAAACTGTCGAGCTTTGGCCAGCCCTATACCCGGCAACGATGGCAGATAATCACAGCCAGACATGATGCACATCTGTCGAAACTTATCAAATGAATAGTGTTCTATCGGACACTTCATAGAAAGAGGAAGTTTTGCTGTATCAACTAAAGTTCCTGTACCATCCAAATCCATTTTGAACATTACCTGGGAAAAAAGAACTCATTTAATTTTTACATCTCATATTGACTTTTTAAATAACTCTTACAAAAGGTATATGAAATAAAATATAGTTGCCGTCGCCCAAAGTGAAGCAAGTGGCACCATCTACTATCGAGTTTCAGAACTAATTGAAAGTTTTAGAAAAGGTTTTCTGCAAGCTTTTTGGAACTTTCTGCAAGACAAAGACGGACTATGAGCCACTTTCCGGCGTAGATACATTCTTTTCCTGTGATACAGCGAGATAAGAAGAATAGCTTACAGTACAAGAAAATATTAGTGAAAAGTGTTGTTAATTGCCAAATAATAAGTTGCCTGCAAATATTTTTAATAAATTATCTATTTCATGTTTAAAAACTTAATTCTGAACTTCAGCTCGTAATTACACTTAGCCGCTGGATCTAACTACCCTTAGCAGATGCATGCTAGGTCAGGCTCACTGTAGGTATGAAGTCACAAGTCTCAACAGTTCGACTCACTCACCAATCGGCTTAATTATACTCATTAAAAACAGTATGTAAGAGATACCTTGGTGCATCCAAACAAAATGAGATCAGAGTCTTCAGTGATGACTAACTGGGCTATGTTCTTAATGTTCAGGTACGCGAGCTGAGCGTCAGCCTCGTAGGGAGCTACTATACAGTCAACATTGCGCTTCCGACACTCCTTAATAAGGCCTAGGGCCATGGCGTGAGTGATGTCCACACTGCGTCTCATATACGATCGAGCTTCATCTGTCTGAAAAGAACATTTATTAAACTTCTTTAGTCCAAACAGATCCATAATGCTGAAGGATTCCTTGACCGATTTTCTCAGTGAGTGAATTAATTTCCGTGTTTATTTCTTTGTGTGTTTGTGAATACTTACTAAATTAAATTTATCTATTTTTTTAGATTTAAAAAAATCCTTACCAAACAAAGACCAATTAATACACACAAATATATTTCTTTAAAGCATAGAATTGAATTTAGAATTGCTGTGTGCTTAGTTGTAAAACACAATATAATTACAAGCCAATGATAATAAAACATAACACCTAACAAACTTACAAGTTATTTAAACTAAAACATTAATTGCAGGAATACCTTTCCAAGACTTAATAATTCCGCTGCCCTTTTCTTTGAAACATCGCGTGATCTGAAATAACAAAATTTATAAATTAAAATAAGGAAAACAATTATTTCAAAACTGAATATGCCAAGTTAAAAAAAAACTTGACGTCAGAGATAAATTTAAACATAAGAATAACTTGATCCTTTTTGTAATGGAAGAAAGGTAATTATGATAACACTAGGGCCAGGCTCAAAATGAGTGATACCACGGCGTCACAGAAAACTGGTGTCTTAAGCAATGCTTTTGTTGCTTTTTCGCGAGTGAGTGAGTTTATCAGAGCCACAAAGCTTGATAGTATAAGGAGTTACTTAGACTACTTTTTATTTTCGGACAAATTAAATAAATTAAGAATGATGTGTAAAAACAGAATTAAACTCTTACTCTCTCCGTTTTGATTCAGTCATTGCTTTGGCAGGTAAGTGCCTACCGTCAAATACTAATATAGGCTTGATATTCTTAGAAAGCAGCATGGTCACATACTTCATGCAGTATTTTATATACCTGTAAGAATATTGAACAATTCATTTATACGTGTAAACTTTCAATTACTATCTCGTCATGATCGTAGCATAATGTTGGTTTTGAAAAAAAATAAGGAATTCAGTTTTTACCATATTTGGATACTACATTGTCTTAATATTATTACTACATTCAAGAAAAAAATATAAGTATTTTAGATTTGAAATTATTCAGTGTTTGATTGATAGGTGTTCAAAGTAAAATGAAGCATGTGATTTTTCTAGAAAATTCTATAATTATTAGTTTTTATTTTTATTGCATTTTAAATTAACCCTTTTCACTTGAATAATAATTTCATAATTACAGATTTAAAAAAGTTATGTCAAAAAAATAACATAATTATTTGAAATGGTTGCCCTGTAAAGTTCAATAAATGTCAGATGCATAACTATTCCGCGACTATAACGATCTGATTATTGATTATTGGGTTAAAAACTAAATTTAATGTACTTTTTATTTACAAGTATATTATTGAATATTCCTAATTCTGTATACAAATATTTTCTTATATTATGATATTCAATGAGATATTGAATATCATAATCATCATCATCATCATCATCATCAACAGCCTATACTAGTCCACTGCTGGACATAGGCCTCTCCTTAGAAAGGAGGTTAATAGAAGAAACTATTTATATTAACATTTATTTACTTGTCAGTTCATGCATTTAATCTTGTTTCAAGTACATACTGATACTGAAAACATGTCTGTGTGTCTGTTAAGAGTCCTTTTGCAGAAATATGTGGATGTTGAAATTATAAAACTTCTAAGTTAATAGATGTGAGCATTCTTTTCACACAATAACTTCAGTCAAAACCCTATAAGGAAGTGAGGTACTTCCCTATAGGAGCTGACCTGATTTAGGATCATGAAATGTTGCAATAACCAAGATCAATTGAAGAGAAACTTCGGTTTTAATTGAAAAAAAATTACAATCACAAGCTTTGTGCCCTGAAACTTGACTGTGTTGTAAAATTTATGCCAAGCAAGATTTGTGTGTGAAATTGCTTTATGACAAACTGATACATAAAATTAAAAAAGTTAAAACTTTTAACCGACTTAAAAAAAGAAGGAGGTACTTTGTTCCACTGTGTTTTTTTTTATATAAACTTGGTTTATTGTTTTCATAGACCATATTGGTTAACGCTAATAGATTATACGATATATTTAATTTAAAAAAAAACAGTTCAAAAGTCAATACTTTCAGGAAAAAGGTAATTTAATTGAACATTAAGACGTCTTATACTATTCCCTGTGAATTGGCGCACAAATAGTATTCAGATCGTAGTTAACACTTGTAAGCAGAGTGCCTTTGTTATTTCGGCTTTTAGTAAATGTATTAAATACTTAAACTTACACATCCGTATCTTCTCCTCGTACTAATTTATCCGCGCAAGCAAATGCACCTTTATGCAGCCAGCAATATGAATCTATTGCCACAGTACAGGCACTAAACTCACTTACGTTTGTCCGCCTTGAAGCCTTCTCTATAAATGGTAATAATCCAGTAATACCCATAATTGTGATTATTCTAAAATAATTCTTCAAATCATAAATAAAAATTAACCACGAAAAAAAGGCAATTTTATTAGAAAATTTCGCATGAATAACACATAAACATTCGCGCCATTGCACTTAACAACACACCCAGATGACAGATAGGTTTAGGTTGACGTTCAACAAACATCGCTGATTGCCACTAAGAAATAAAAGGTACTGAAACATGATAAAAAAAAGGCAATGAATGATTAATGTACCTACACACTTGTTAAGACTTTTAAAGAAGCAAATATGGGTTAATTATTACATCTCAATGTCAGGACTCGACCGGAGTAATACCACGGCCTCACAGCTAACCGGTGTTAAGCAATTCTTTCGTTGCCTTTCACTGAGTGAGTGAGGTTAAAGGAGCCCAAATCCCTCCTCCCCCGGTGACTCGAGCGGGAGAGACTCCGAGGGCAGCAACGCACTTGTGACTTTAGAGTTGCAGGTGTCCATGGGCGGCGGTAGTTGCTTACCATCAGGTGAGCCGTCTGCTTGTTTGCCCACTAATACCATAAAAAAAGAACTATTGTAAGACAGATGTAAAGGAATAAACGGACGGAAGTGGCTTTTGAAAACTGAGAAATTACTTCAAAATATTATACTATGGCTAAGAAAAAATTAAATGGTCAAATCCCCCCTTCTCCACACACCAACGATCAGTATTGACAATTTAGAATTTGATAAGTTTGGCTGTATTTACATAACCAAATCTCCATCTTTTTTCAAAATCCATCTCCAAAAAATGGAGACCAATGGCATCTCATGGTAGTAACTCCCATACGGATCTTTAACTTTATTTTACGAGCAACGTCGAAGAGTCAGCTCAAGCTATTAACCATCTTACTTCTTACGATTTCACAATGACTTGAAATGGAAATCTTCCTAAAGCTAATAATAATAATTATAACGTAATTAATGCATCAAACAAAAATCATTTTTTCTTATTTCTTGAGATAATGTAATTTATATGTTACGCACTTGTTGTTGTATAATCTATAACAGGTTTCGAGATCTGCATGAAATAAATATTCATTTGAGGGTAGTTCTGAAATAATTTACGCTGATAAAATCTAATGTTGACAGCATGGTTTGACCACATAGTTTTGCCCTAAGATATAGATTGGTAAAACCGCGTGTCAATACAGTCATCTTTATGTTTGAAATCACGTAAAATGTTATTAACTCCAAGGATAATTTCGTCGGCCGCAGCTCTAGCAATAACTTGTGCAATTTCTGCGGCAGCTTATTATTACAAGAGTCGCAGTCTGGAAATCAATGAAGTCATGGTGTTTTGCAAACTACAATACAACGCGTACAATTACTTCGATAAGTTGATTAGTTATGTGGAAGCTGCCAAAAAAAGCGTGAATGTGTGCATGCCTACCATTCACAATCCTGCTATTCAAGGCCGCTTGGTATCATTACTAAAGAAAAAAAACATCAAAATTCGAATCATTATTGACCGAACTGGTTATAACGAATCTACAGACTTTCTTATAAAAGAACTTATTGATGCTGGTAAGTTATTTATTCAATAGGTACATTATTTCAACATGATTCAGTCACCAGAGGTATAAAAGAAATGGTACTTACTTACTTTGTTCTTTAAATCAAAACAATAAAATTAACATATATTTTACAGGTGCTGAAGTAAAGTGTAAACCAAATGAACCGTTTTACAAGATGCAGCATAAATTCTGCTTAGTTGACGATAAAATCCTTATGACAGGCACGCTGGATTGGGGTAACGACCGTTCTGCTGATAACTGGAACTATGTATATATAACAAATAAACTTCAGCTTGTCGAACCAGTAAAAAAAGAATTTTATGAATTGTGGAGTCAATTTTCTAACGATTTAGAGTCAAATAGAGTAAAACGTCTTTTAAGCGATTCTTCTAATATATCATCTATTAGTTTTGATAGCAAAAGTCCAGCAACCGCTTATGATGTAACTGAACCTAGTACACGGGATTTAGCATTGACTCCTGAAATTTGTTTACCGTAGATAACTTTAAAATCTATATTTTATCTAATTTATTTCACAAATGTTTTACATTCCAAACATGCCTTGTATAAACTCAATTAATTAATGTTTTAATAGTAGACTTGTTCAATTCCACTAATAATAAAATTGTTTATTTCATGTTTCTGTAATTCCTATTGATATAATTCTTATGGGTTTAAGATAAACCTTAACTCCACCGTTTTCTATTTCTCAGAATTTCCATCTTCAATTCAATTTCATTATTTTGAAACTCCTTTTGAGAAGAAATGAGTTTCTTCATCTCATATTTTTCACATAGTCCTCGGCTAAATCAGTCTTATTTCAATTGTATTTGTACCTCAAAATAATATATTTCTTTATTATTAAATAACTACTTACTATATTATATAATTGTACCTCTCATATCATTATCCACCGTTATCTTTGTATCATGAATAATTTTAATGTATTTTAAATGTGTTTTTTTAATGAGTGAATAAATAAATTAAAGTTTTTGAGCCTTTAAACTTAACGTAACATTTTTCTCTTGAATATCTATAATTTTAACTATTTTAGCAAAACTAATGTACTCGTATATTAGCAATAAACGGAACCGGCGAAAGTTTTTTAAAACAAAATTCTGACACAACCCATATCTCTTCCTGTGACCGGAATTATTAGTACCAATAAAATACTGGTATTTGTTTTACTAAAACCATTTCACTTCTTCCTTTCAAACACCATTTTGTCCCTTTCATTCTCCTCAATGTCCTCACGATCTCATGTACCACAAGTAGTCAAAGCCGAAATATTTTCTAGTTTATCAGACATACCTCAAACCAAATTAATATTACGAATTAAAGTAGCAAATTACTGTTTTATACTGAAAAGTAGATTTTAATATAAAATAGGTTTATCTAATCAAAGTATTTACTTGCCTTGTACATACATTCCTAATTTATCGGTTAATTCGGTCGTGAACGCAGACCCAGTGAAAGTCTGGAAATTTCTCAGAACACTTAAAGTTGGAAAGTCAAATTTAAATACTGTTCCTAAAAAAAAATCATATTGAGTCGTTAAACGTAGGTACATTTCTCTTCTTCTACTGATTACAGTAAGACCTGTAAAGCTAATACCTTACAATATCTTTCATCACTTCCAACTCCTGACTTCTCCCCTTTTTTTTTTTCAACAAATTACTGCTTGTGATGTTAAGAAGTGTATCATGTCCATAACTTCCAATGCTGTTGGAAGTGACTGCATAAGTCGTAATATGATCCAACCTATTGTCGATGAAATCCTTCCCATCTTATGCCATATCTTAAATCACTCCCTCACTAATAGTGTATTTCCCGATACCTGGAAAGAGGCACAGATTATTCCCCTACCATAGAAACACAATCCTTCATCCTTCTCCAACTACCGTCCAATTTCCGTATTGTCGTTTCTGTCAAAAGTCCTCGAACGGCTCGTCCACACTCAATTAACTTAATACCTATCACAAAACCATCTCCTGAATAGGGATTTAGGAGATGGTTTTGACCTGGTGGTGATGGTTTTGGACCGTGCTGTGGCCAGTACGTAAGCGCGCTGATCATTGTCACTGATGACATCAGGCTGGGTATGGAGCACGGTAAACTTACAGTACCCTGCTCGATTTCAGCAATGCGTTTAATACGGTGGACTTCGACATCTTGCTAGGCATTTTACACTCTATTAACATATCTCCAACGGTGATTGATTGGTTTCATAGTTACCTGTTGGGTCGAAGGCAGCGTGTGCGCATTGAGGAATCCTTTTCCTCATGGTGTAATACGTCTGCTGGAGTACCACAGGGTGGCGTTTTATCTCCTCTGCTTTCCACTATTTTCATTAATTCTATTTCTAAATCATTACTCTCATCCTATCACCTTTACGCAGATGATCTTCAAATATATACGCAAGCTCCGCTAAGCAAAACTGTCTGAAGCTTTCTCTGTCTTGAACTTGGATTTGGCGCGGGTTTGTGAATGGAGCAGCCAGTATGGACTTGTTGTTAATCCATCAAAGACCAAAGTTATTGTTGTAGGCAGTCCCAGGATGCACTCTAAAATCGACTGGTCAATCAGTGCTTGTGTTAAAAACCTAGGAATTATGATTGATAGTACTTTATCTTGGGGCCGTCAACTACGCGAAGTTAGTAGGAAAATGTTTGCATCGGCGGGCTCAATGCGAAGACTATGTAACTTCCTACCAACGGTCACTAAAATTGCGCTAGCTGAATCCCTGCTCCCTAAACTGGATTACGCTGATGTCAGCTATCTCGATATCACTGAGGAGCAACTTGATAAACTTGAGCGCCTTCAAAACTTCTACATTAGATTTATATTTGGTTTACGCAAATATGATCATGTGACTCAATTTCGTAAATTACTCAAGTGACTCCCAATTCGACTTCAACGGAATACATACATATTCTTTCTATACTTTATACATGGACGTATAAAAAAAGTGCTTTTTAATACGTCCATGACTTTATAGTATTTTATTCAATCAATTAACCCCTCCTTACTTAAAGGAACGTTTTGTGTTCCTCAGATGTGTGTAATCTGAGATCCTTAAGGTCGTCGGAATCTTTGGAGCTAATGGTATCTAGCCACACTACCATATTCTATGACAAATCTTTCACGGTGTAGGCTGTCAGATTATGGAACGCCTTGCCGATATCTATAAGAAGCCGAACACTGACGGCATTTAAAAATATGGTCAAAGTTCACTACTTGAGTTTATAGTTCATGGTACCCTTTGCTTCCAATAACTGTACATGACTAATGTTTTCATTGTTATCAATATAAATTGTTTATTATATATATATATGTATAATTATGTAAATATATAAATAATATATGTGTGTATAATTATGTAATGTATATTTTTACACTACGTTAGCTTCAATACACCTAGACTACCCACTGTTTCTTCTTATCTACTGTCGATTTGTCCATCCAAAGGTTGCCTGTAAGAGATTGCTATTAGCAATAAGGCCGCCCATTATACATATCCATCTGTAATATTTAACCAACTTTCTGTAATTGTTGTACAATAAAGCATATTCTATTCTAATGGGAGGGCCATTTAGCCTTCTGATAGATGATTAAAAATCTTTGCAATAGAACTCTGAGAACTCGGCCTCTACAGCCTGTGTTACAAGCGGAGCATGCAATTAAACTTCTTCAAAATCTGTGCTTCTGTAAAAATCATGTCATGCCACATGATGACATGATTTCACAGAAACACAGTTCAGTTTATAATGTTACCGGTTTACTAGAAATATCTCACAACTGTGTAGCAATATCAAACCATACTGCTCATTCCTTGATAGTTTCGTACAGATTGGCTACTTTTTGCAGTTCTTAACTAGTGATGTGCCACTACCGGAAATTGGCATTATTAAAATCAATTTATCGTTTTTTATATTAAATTATCATGAAAAAATGTGTTGCCACTTGTTTAAATTATAAGTTAAAAAAAAAAAAAAAAAAAATTGATTAAATATGATATAAAACAAATATTTTTAAATAAGTACATAATTCATTACAGGTAATCATTACATTATATTTAAAGGTTCATAATTATGCAACTCATAGTACCTATATACCAGCGCTAATACAGTTACCACATTCGGAGGCCATATCAATAAAACAAATTAAATTCACACTTAAAAGTAATTGTTTATTCTTGTAAGTTCGCTAGTCTAAGGTATGGTTTGATTGGCTCTTCGACGAGCACTTCCGACAGCTTGCGGCGGCTCTGACCACTCAGAATAGGGCACGCCTCTGGGGCACTCAAAGGATATTGGCGGTTAAAGCCATACGCGGTTACCGCACCGTTTCGACAGTATTTGCAGATTATACAAACATTTGAGCTGACCCTGGAATCGGACCATAGCACAGCAGTCACATACGCTACCATTGCAGCACTGAGGCAGTGAAAACCATTTTTAAGATTCTATGTAGATGAAATGACTAAAACACCAGATTACTTAAGTTTTAACTTATATTTATCATAAAAATGTACATAGAAAAACATTTTATTAACCTTTTCATAAAATTACATAACTTATATTTTAAGTTTCAAAGTATACCTACTGAGTAACATAAATTATTTACAAGCTAAAACCTCATTTCCTATTCACCTCCCCTAATTGCTTTATATTTGGATATCTCATTGGGGAATGTTTTTGACAGTTCGGAAAGAAGATGACTCTTGAAACGCTTGTAGGAGTCTATCTTTCCCTTGACTTCTTCATTTTTGGCTAATGCCTTATCAATGCAGTCTTTTGTGTATAGTTGAGGATTGCGGCCTTGATCAATATAACTGAAAAGAAACAAAGGGTCATTACTAATCTTAATAATAGTAATAATTTAGTGTTATATAATTATTATTTTCAGATATCTAACACACAACTCCATCTAGTTACGAGCTTGTACTATGAAAGCTAGATTGACTGATAGAATACTTCTACATTTTTTAAGAGGCATCCAAAAACAGCTCTTATTAAAGTGAATCAACTCCTAACACACACACTTAGCTTAAAGGATAGCTTAAAGCTATAACCAAAATCTTAAAAAAAAAAAGAAAATGAAGCATACATATTATTTACAATTGTATTGTACTTCTTTAACCGACTTCTTATTTATAATGTTGATGGTTAGCCCTAAACATACATACATGTAACATAAGTTTAATAAAAACATGAATGTCAAATGTTATTAATCAATGACAATGTAATAAAATATACTTACTCAAACACCTCTGTTGGTACATGGATGTCATGAACCTGAGATTTCAATTTGTCTACTTCTTGAAGCCCAGTGACTAGAGATTGACTGAAATTTAAAAACATTCATACCACCATTAAAACATCAATATGTTGCTAGTAAAAATGTGTTGATTTGTTTGAATAGAATTCCTCTTAATTAAGAACCCAGTGGAGAAGATAAGTACTGGCAGTAGAATAGTGTGACATATATGTTATACGATGTATTTTAGATAATTTACGATACAATTATTGATATTGCAAGCACTTACATCTTTTGATTGAGTACACTCTGTCCCTGTGGCTGGAAATCACTAACAATAATTCGAATCTGTCTTACATTCTCAATGAACATTTCAAGTTGGGTTTCAAGGTTTTCTAAAGAAGAAGACATCTTTCTCTGATTATTTTATCTTGGAATAAATAAACAACACGTAAAGATAATGTGAACGGTCGGAACACTGGCATATACACCACAGACAAAACATTATAAACCAGAGACTAGTCTGGAAACTGGCCAGCAGTGTTGCCAACAGTTAATTGAACTCTCCACCAGATTCAACATCTAAAACCACCAGAAAACCACTAACGAAAAACGATCCTACTGCAAAAGGCACTAAATTTTCCACTAAATATTTTTTTGGTTATTATGAAATAAAATCTTAAGGCTATTTGTGCCTCGGCGTCGACACCAGACATGTTTCTTTCTACAATGTCAATTAAGAGTAGAACTCACGGTGCCGTGGAAAACGAACATCCCTAAAGACACGCTCTAAAAAGAAATAAGTACTTGAACTTAACCAAAAAAATAACTAAAATTGGTTATTTCGTTTCGTTGTATACCGTGGAAGTGGGTGCGAGGGGTATACCAGCTAAATCCCTGTATAACTTGCTTAAAGACCTTGGATTGCTAAGAGCTTCAGTAAGCTCTTTTCTTGAACGAATATCCTAAGTGACATTGCTAGGCTCGTATAAAATATGGTTAGGTAGATAATAGGGGTAACACAGCCGACAGTAAAGGTGACAAACCTATTCCTGGGTCGCAATTCCTAGGCCCTGTCGAAGTTACATTTATTGCCCTAATCTATCCCATGATGGACCCGGCACCTAGTGAATCCATGGAACGCTAAGAAATATTAATCGTTTTTGTCAGCACCATAATCGTCGGTTCCAAATTAATACGATTCTTCGGTACCGATTTGTTTTACAACGTTCATTGGAATTTTATATTGGTTTCAACATTCTCCTTCCATCTTAAAACATAGCCGATTAAAGATTTAACTTCATACTATTCCTCTGTTTATTCCTACCTATAGTCTCTCAACTCAACATCGGCATTGAAATGAGGCAGTATTAAGAGTATCAACAAAAAAGATCGCTTATTCCTCATATATCAAAGTCCCTTGGCCCCTTGGTCATCTTTGAAGTGCAATAGCCTCTAGTATGAGAAAGTTATTTAATACATTGGGTATTGGTGGACAACAACTGACAGAGTTTCATTGGTTTGAATGATATCAATCTTCATGTCCCTTCTGCTACTCAACCGGATCATTATACATAGAGTCGAACCCTGAACTATATCGCTAATCAGCCAATAGATGTTTTGATTGTTGAATAAATGAAATATGTCTTAGAGGAGTTATTGAAACGAAGTACCTTATTGCGAGTTGCACGCTCTGAGCGGATGGGAGCGGATCTTTTTCATATTTCATATATATGTAGCAAACGTCTACCCAAAAGCAAAGAAACGTCGTTTGGACAGGGGTCAATAGACCCCTCACGCCTCACGCCTTTGATCTGATTTTCGGTTTTTAACAATATTTGCAGCTTTTAAGATTATCTAGATGGTTTCATAGATCATAGTCTCTTCGTTAGATACTCTACTACTTGTGTTTTGTTTGCATTTGAGACAGAGTCAATTGTTAATAGAATGATTACATCATCATCTTCATCTCTTCATTACATACCCTTGTCCCAATTTTATTTGGGGTGGGAGTAGTATGTATGATTCTCATATTCTACTCTATCATTTATAATTTAACTGGAAAACCAACTTTTTTTTGATTTTCCTCTTCTCTTGTACCCTTCAACTCCCATGCCTACACTTTCTTCGCCACATTCTCTTCTTCTCTCCGCATGACATGTCCGAAAGAACCTATTACTTCTTAAGTTATCATCAGCTGGCACTACTAAATCAGGCATTTAACATTAATTACAAAAACCTTCACTACACCACCGTGAAAAATCGATCGAATAGACAATACTTGCAACAAAGCTCAACGAAAAACGAAAGCGAGCATTTTTCATTAATCCTTTAAAGGTCAGCTATAAACATGATTACATCTTTAACTATTTTCCCCCATTTTCGTTGATATTCTGTACAAGTGACAGTAAGGTGCATATCTATATATATAGAATTTGTTCGTTAGTTTCATCAGTTTTCAAAATAATGTTAAGTAAGTAATATTAATTATATAAAAATATTGTTAGAAGTTTGTTGGTTGAGTAATGTTGATACTAGATATCCACAATATATTTCCTGGTTTTAATTTTGATTGAAATTATTTTTGTAAATTGTTCCCTAATTCGTTAATATAATACGAGTAATTAACGAAATAAATAAAAGTTAAAGCCCCTTAAAGGTTTCAGTTCAAAAATGTTTCTCTAGCCTCCCATCACTAGAAATTAGTTTTGGTTCTACCCATAGACATAGAGAAATAAAAACATAATTTTGTCTTTGGTTCTACCGCCGCTCCACGAATCTTTGACCTGACAGCTTGTTCTCCAGAGACTTGACAAATGACAATGACACTCATGATTTTGGCGAAATCATTTGACTAGTAAATAGTTATCTGTGAAATCATTAATCATAAATCAAACGTTGAAGTTGATAGTCATGAGTGAGCCTCCTTTAGCTTTTTAATTTTGATTATAACTTACTCAAAGTCTGACTTAAATCTTCTTTAGAAATGGTATCCTTAGCTCCTATGGATTCTCATACGAAAACGACAATTTTTCAAGCAGGGTTAGCTGGCGGTTTAGCCGGAGCGTTCACACGGGCCGTCTCACAACCCCTTGACGTTCTAAAAATAAGATTTCAACTCCAAATCGAACCTATAGGCAAAGGCTCTAAGTATAGTTCAATGGCGCAAGCAACTGCTGCCATGATTAGGGAGGAAGGTATTGCTACGTTATGGAGTGGGCACATGCCAGCGCAGTTTTTGTCTATTACGTACGGTGTTATACAGTTTTCTGTGTTTGAAGAGTTAACTAATTTATGCCGATCATGTGACAAACTTTATTTGAACCACAAGAATTGGTTAAATTTTGCCAACGGTTCTATAGCTGCTACGGTCGCAACTGTCGCGTCGTATCCGTTTGATACTATACGAACTAGGTTGATTGCTGAGCAGAAGACTAAAAAGGCGTACAAGGGCTCAACACACGCATTCACTGCTATGGTGAAGACAGAAGGAATACCAGCTCTGTTTAAAGGTCTAAATCCTACGCTTGGACAAATTGCACCACATGCAGGGATGCAGTTTGCAGTGTATAAGATTTTTAAAGATAGCGTTTTTACAAATATACCATATTTCAATAGAAAAACTACAGACAAGCATAAAGTGACAACATTAACTGCCAATCTTTTATCAGGCTCTATTTCAGGATGTGTTGCAAAGACAGCAATATATCCATTTGATTTAGTGAAGAAAAGGTTGCAAATTCAAGGCTTCCAACATCACAGAAAGTTTTTTGGTAAACAGATGTATTGTAATGGCTTAATTCATTGTGTGCGGTTGACTATTGCAGAGGAAGGTTTTCTAGCACTCTATAAAGGCTATTTACCTAGTATGTTGAAAGCTATGTTAGTTACAGCATTACACTTTGCAGCTTATGATGAAATAAAGTTACAATTTAAGAAATCTGAGAGCTGATAAAGAGGGTAGAAAATTAAATGTATATCAACTGTTTTAACAACAAAGTGGTCTCATATAAGAGCAAAGTCATGCGAGAGGTCAAGTGTTATGTGGTACTAGACCACAATATTGATGTAACCAACGATTATTGTATTTACACTTATGAGATGCATTTATGATTACCAAAGATTAATAGGTATTCATTTGGGCCTGAAAGTATCACATGCCTTTTTAACCCTTTGACACTTTAGTCACACATATTTAATAAAAAAGGCAAACTTTATATTAAATACTGTTTAAGACCTAGTAGTCACTACACATAGTACTACTAGTACTACTACAAACGGTTGGATAATAAAATTTACTCTGTTTGCCTTAAAATGACCTGTTTTCTTTTTTTTCAAAACAAAATGTGAATATAAGCATTTTACTTTAAGTTATCTTTGCCACTGCATTAGAATTCGACCTTTTTATAAAGTTTGAGATTTAGATAGTCTGTGTGTTTGTTTGCAACAGTTTCAATGTTGTCTTTTACAAATGAGAAGTAATTTGTAAAATAAAAAATTGGCAAAGATTGTCTATTACTTTGGCTTGCCTCTTTTTACAGAATCTCTATTTTATTATATCAAGAACCAGGCCATAACTAATAGCATTTTTACTTTTGTAAGTATAAAACTTGTGTAAAAATAGGTTTCGGAGTCTGGTCTGTTTTGATTTCACCTTGTATTTTTATTATCTTGCTTAACAATTGTTTTATATAACAAAAACAAACAGTATGCTGAATGTTTTCAAATGAGAATTATTTAAATTATTTTTAAGGGTTATTTATTATTTTGTAGCTGTTTACTGTGGTTATATAAGTATAAATAATAGAATGTTTTTTTTTGCTGATGTTTATCTTATTATTGAATTTAATTGTTATTATTCATGAGTTCAATCAATGTTGATATATTTATACTTATACTGTGTTTTGTAAGAACTATGCATTGCCATAGATTAGTATTTATTGCTGTTGATTATTTTCATTGTAGATTTATAGACTGGTTTATAATAAATTGCTGTGATATTGGATTATCTAATCTGTATTATTTATACACTACAATATGTATTTATATCACATCAACAGTAATGAAGATTAGTATTAATTACACATGAAGATGTACCATTATATTTTAATTAACAAAACATTCAAGAAAGGAAATTATTCTATAAAATAATAGCTGTACCCTACTACGCTTCACTGTGGTACATTGTGGGTGCTAAAAATAGATAAAAACCATCTTTTGAGCGTGTTTTATATTGAGTCAATTTTTTTAAGTGTACACAAACCAACAACATTTTTAAATATATATATATATATATTTATTGTCCATGATTGACTATACCTCCAAATCTTGCACTATAATAAATCAAAATATTACAAATAAATTTACTAATTACAACTCAACATTATGAAAACATTTAAAAAGGTTTTACTGTTACAGCAGTCTCATGAATTAGAATTTAACTAAATTAACCATAAGATATCACATAACCCATATTTCTCATCAAAGTATCTTTAATAGCGGGCTGCAATTCCTTCTTCATATATGTTGTTAAAAGAGTCCTTATACCTTTCGTAAAAATGTCCTCCATTTCCCTGGATATGTCTTCAGCTTCGTCCAACTCATCATCAGGCCTGAATAGCTTACTTCTCTCGTAGTTTACTCTACTGCGTGGTTCGTAGACAATGTCCCAGTTATTGTCTGCAGACTTACTATCTAAACCAATGTCATATATTTGTCTAAAATGTGGTTCAAAAGAAAACTCATCCGACCTTCTTTTTCGTTTTAAGGGTAAATTATCTTTATTCTTAACAGAGTTCCTGTTGATATACTTTTCGCAACCATACGCATAAACGCTTATAAATCCAGGTTCTACAAATTCAGAATCAGTTTTAACATTAAATTTTCCAGGTTGTTGATTCAAGGGTCTCGTGTGAAAGCCGATACCGGCTTTTCTAAGCCTTAGTATCATATTGCATCCATTGCTACCACGATTTCTTGGATAATCTTCTATAAAGGGTTCATCTTTTGATCTGGAATTTGCGTAATGTCTTCGCAATCTTCTATTTGGTGGTAGCCCTCGATCCAAATCGTTAGCATCGTACAAATCTACGTTGCCACTTATAGTTATATCGTGAAACAGCAACATGGTGTCTAAAGAAACGTTTCTCGGGTCGAAGTAGCATTTTTCGACTCGTACCCAGTTGCTGTTCTGAGGGAGACGAACTCGCATTCTTGTGACGTACATATCGACTGGTGCTGAACGCATTTGCTGGTATAAGCTGTAGCCGTTGAGATCTATGCTTTGATTCTGTAAACAAAAATGTTTTTCTCAATAGAGCTTCTTTTTTTTTTTGATGGGGTGGAAAATCGCTTGGGATCCTCGGCCCCGTGGGTAGTCATTTTATGTCTATCCATATAAAGGAAGATATCAAATATATTTTTTATTGTTGCCGGATATTTAATAACAGACCTGCCTTTGTATATTATTGCAGTGCATCAAGAATAATTGCAGACGGTAGCACGGACAGCTTTAAAGAAATAATTATGAAAAGAGATGTCAGCCCCATGCGTCGAGTACGGGATACTACTAGCGACCGGCCTCCGAAAAAATTTGTTCACGTTGGATTCCGCACAACTTGAGAATTTACCAAAAACAGGGTCGTGTTGATCGTTGTAAAAAAATGTTACAAAAGTCCAATCAGGGTGCGTCAACAGCTATCTATAATATCTACACAGGAGATGAATCTTGGATATATGTGTATGATCCTGAAAGTAAACAACAATTAACGGTTTGGGTGCTCCAAGATGAGCCAAACCCAACTAAAGTAATTCGTTCAAAAAGCACTTTGAAGCAAATGGTCGCTTGTTCTTTTTGATACAAATCATACAAATATACATGTGGCTACAGTGCGACGTAAAACGGTTAATTCTAAATGGTACACGACCATTTGTTTGCCAGAAGTCTTTGAAGAAATAAGAATGAATAACCGACAACGCAGAATCCTTCTTCATCATGACAATGCTAGTTGCCACACATCGGGCGAAACAACTCAGTATTTGGAAGATCAAAAAATCGAATTAACGGATCATCCGCCGTACAGCCCTGACGTGGCCCCAACGACTTCTATTTATTCCCAACCGTGAAGAATAAATTACGTGGTCAAGGTTTTTCGAGCAGTGAAGAGGCTGTTGATGTCACGATGTTTATGAGATACCACAATCAGAATAGAAAAAGTGCTAAGAAAATCGGTTCCAACGTATGCAAAAGTGCATCGATCATCACGGCGAATATTTTGAAAAGGAATAAAACTATAATAAATGCTATATGTTTGTTTTACTTTGTTATTCCGGATACATAAATAGCAGCCCTCGTATTTTAGAAAAGTTGCATTTTCGATATCATATAATTGAATAATAAATAACATAAGTAACTTAGATATCAGAAGTACTAACAGATTGTGGATATTAACAGGAAAAGTTCCATTGTGATTATTAGGTAGGTACTATTTAATTATTAACACGCTTGGTATGTATGTAACGGAATCTTCGAAACGTCGAATTAAATTGAAACTTCACTTATCAAGCACCGATTACAATACAATAGTTTGATAAATTTCAGCGATTGTACTGATCAGGATCTTCAGGATTAACGGAAATAACATACCTACCTAAAAATACGGTAGTGTCTTTTGCTACGTACTAAGAGGCGTGTCCTGAAGCGTGTGACTTGTTACTTTTTTCGTCTTAATAAGAAAATAATCATAAATAATGACTAAAAAAGCAAAAATAAATTATAGTTTAGAAAAACTAAAAAACACGCTTTTGTAACTAGCCGTAATAAAAGTATTAAAAAGATGGAGGTGCTTTTCAAGATATTTATAGTACACTAGCTGACCCGGTCGAGCCCTTTCGGAGGAGTTCAACCACGCACACCGTGACACGAGAATTGTATATATTACATTTATATATTATTATATAGTTTACAGATATTTTAAAATCTTATAAAATAAAGTAGCCTTTTTGTGTTGTACGCTTAGATCTTTTAAACTAAGCAACGGATTTTAATGCGGTTTACCAATAGAGAGAGAGTGATTCAAGAGGAAGGTTTATATGTAGACTATAGTTAGGTAATTCCGAGAATTTCAAAGATTTGTTATAAAAAATATCTTATTGTGCTTACATTGCAAATGCTGGCTAATCCTTACGAGATGGACCAAAAAATTGTGCTACTGAATGTCTTAAAAAGATCTACAAAAAAGTCTGCGATGGTATATGTCTGTCTCCTAAGGATTATCCTTAGGAGATAGACACCTAACCATTAACCATTTTTATCTTTTAAATATTACTTTTTTTCGCATTTTACGAACGAACGTTTCTTTTTGAACTTATAGAAAATTAGTTTCTACGTGGAACGAGGTATTCAGGTATCGATGGAGAGTTGAAGAAAGAAAAAAGAAAAGTTAGTGCTCGTCGACTGCGGCGCTGACGAATTGGTAGCCTTTGCAGCTGAGAACGTAAAGCAGACATATGGTCATATTTGCGACGATTAAAAATGAATCGAATGCATTTATTGAGAAGGCGATCTAGTTTATTGAGTCTGCATTCAGGTCAAAATAACACACATCACTATAGTCGATTCATGGAATAATTAAGGACTGCATAAGCGTAGCCTTAGTTTTAGCTTAAAGGAAGTTTTTTAGACGATATAATGACTTTGACATGACTTTCTGGTTGTCGTGTGCCTATCAAATATCGAGTCTATATGTAACCTCAGGTTCTTTACCACTTGACTCTGAGGTATAATTATGGTTTTTTACCGGCGGTGTTTCCAAATTCATAAGCTGCGTTCGTTTTCGTCGTTTCATCTGGTCTAGTGCAGATTCCAATCGCGCTGAACATCTTTCCCCGGCGATCGGCACAGTGGTTAGCGGGGGCAAACCACCAGGGCCAATGCCAGGCCGATTGTCAAAACGCTTTACTTCAAACAGGGGAAGAAAGCGTGACTCTGGAACAGAAGTTATGTGTGTTGTAGCTTTATTTTAGTTATTAAAATGTGACTTGTAGTTAGTAGTATAACATTTGTACGAAATAACATTGGGTTCAAAACTTAAAATTAGGTACTAAATAATCTTATCAAATTTCACTGATTTTACAAATATGTAAAATCAATATTTGTAATATTTAATAAAAAGTATTAAGTGAATAACAAATAAATGCAGTTTAATTACAAATAATTACTAGATGAGCTTTATTATATTAGGCCAAAACCTCCTTTCTAAGGAGAGGCCTATGTCCAGCAGTGGACTAGTATAGGCTGTTGATGATGTTGATGACTAGATGAGCATTTCGTAATGAAGGCAAGAACGTGTCAGGACTAGTGATTGGCATTAATGCTAATTGGATTTAATTTAATTAATTGCCAATTCTTATGTCTTAGGATGTTACTAACTTTTAAACTTTCGCGTTCCATGATAATTAATATTTAGGATGTTAATTGCTAATGCTAATAGTATTCCCCAATATTGCAATTGCGTCCGAGGTGAGCAAATTAAAAACGATCGTAACTTGTAGGTAGGTACTTATATCACTTACTACTAATTTTACATAAATGACTTTTTTTTTATTATAATTTTAGTCACCGCAACTTTCGTGATCAAAAATAGTCTACTATTTTATTTTCTCCAACATTATTACAGATATAATAAAATTCAGAGTTTCTTCGCAATATGCTAGCCTTCGTCAATTCGTCACTTAACACTTTAAAAAAAATATCTCTATCTATTTACAAAATACCTCGTCACACTCTTCAAAATTTAAATTACCTAATTAAACTTCTTATTAACAAAATATACTAAATAGGTACCAATTCTATGATTAACTATAAACAATTTAACAAAACACTACGAGAAAACAAAGGCATTCAAAATAATAATTAATCTCCCGGCCACTTGCTAATGCCAAAAATTCAATGAATGTTTTTAAAACATATTTATGCAATAAATAATCTAAATATGTGCATATCTTTTAAAATAGATAATAAAATCCTTTTGCACTCTCAGAAATAGCATCATCATCACTGTTTCGAGCGAAAAAGGTACTTAACGTGATTAACATTTTTCGTTCATTTAGCAATAGCAATTGTATGAATATTTTAGCACGACGATTTATTAAATTAAATTTGGAATTAAATTTAGTCTTCGTGTTGATGCGAGTGAGAAAGCACGCGCTGTGTGAATGTAAAGCGTTAACGAATGAAGCGACGAAAATTCGTGTACGTATTAATTCAAACTCACGAAATTTTACGACTACAATTAATTTGCTTATAGTTAATTAAGAATTCACAATTAAATATGAGTGTGAAGACTAATTATTCCAAAAAAATCAACAAAATATTAAACATTATTTGTACTCATACGAGTAAGAAAGCTTAGTGAAAGAGTTTACGACAGCAAACACCTGACCATTAACACCAAGATGATCGTATATCAAACAAGCGTTCTAAGTGTGCTCTTATACGGAACGGGGATCGTAGGTACGCTAGGCAGGAAAGGCGTTTAAATGCCTTCCACGCGCGCTGTCTGCTATGCATTCTGGGCATCTCCTATAAAGACAAAGCGACGAACGAAGGTGTGCTCGAAATGAAGAGGTTGCCCATCGTAAGTGCTATGTTAAAACAGAAGATATTGAGCTGGCTAGGACAGGTGCATCGTATGGAGTCCTCTAGTTTTCCTAGACAAACTCTCCTTGGGAAAATAGTGTATGTCAAGAGACCTGTGGGCCGTCCGAAGGTTTAAGGACAGCGTGAAGCGCGATATGATCTCCTTCGATATTAACTTTTCTCATTTGGAAGACCTCGCAGAAAAGCGTGATCAATGGAGATCGATGGAGAGATGATGAAGCTTGGTTGAGGAAGAAGAAGAAGTTGGAAGACGAAGGAAGAAAAAATTTCGAAACACCCAAGACTGTTTAAATTATCTATATGATCAATATCTTCATAGGCCAGTGATGACTAATAGGAAAACATAGATAAGAGTTAACCAGGGGTTTCCTTCCTAGGGTACACTTGGTTCCCCGGCTACTGGTACCCGACACGGCATAAGGTTTTTAGTCGGTTGGAGTCTGACGTAAACACCGGCGGGTGCGGTTTCTGTGCGGCAATCCTCTTGGGTATCCAAGAAATAAAAGTTAGCAATAGTGTTATTAAACACATTAAATTTTTTAGGCACTTATCGGGCAGAAGAAAGGGATTTTTCAAATTCTTTTACTTTTTATTCACTATTGTCCAAACATATGCTTTAGTAAAGGCAGAAAATACTTTAATCGACCTCCCCTACTCTTTTGTGATAATTACTTATGATTTCTTTGTCATAACCTAGATTTTTTGTTTCCCAAATTCTAAAATGTTAAACATTGATGTATTTGTATATTGTATATTGTTTTATTTCAATATCCAATCATTATAACTAGTTATAATGGGAGAGGCCTATGTCCAGCAGTGGACTGCGATAGGCTGATGATGATGATGATAACTAGTTAGTTAGAATTATTTCGCAAAATTGCAAAAAGCTATACGCTTTTACACTCCACATAACATGGTCACGGTCTAGCGTATTCATCAATTTAAACGAGGAAATTTGGTTTAAATTTAAATGCAAAGTGCATTTGAAGGATTGAGTACACAATTGCAGGATAGGGCATGTAAGGGAATGCTAATGTATTGGAGAAGACGTAAGTACAGGTAGGTGTTTACAGAAAAAGCTTACCTAAGTACCTACCTTATTTTAGTTAACTAAGCAAAACTGATAGACCTGCTTAAGTTTTTACTTGGAAAACATTTATAATTAGAAAAAGTATTACAAATGAAAATAGTGAAACGACGGAAAATAGTGTGCACACATAAAATTGAAAGTTATTTTGTAATTATATTCAACGGTTATCCTACTGTTTTCACTTCTATTGTTTCTGCTCAAAAGCGTGAAAATACTCCTAAGTTCGTGAGCTTACGTCAAATATAGTGAAGATCAACAATTAAAATTTTTCTTTGTAATACTGTTCTCAAAACAGTCTTAGTTCGCAAGTACATAAACAACTTGAAATCGTGGGAACTCAGCCATAGAGAATACATTTCAATCCTTGATAAAAAAATCTCTTTTCGATTTTCTTCAATTTTATTAGTAGATAACGTTTTTAGTTGCTTTTTGGTTTTTTATACCTATCTTGTAATTTATACATAGTTATATTAACACGCAGGGAAAATTTTTACTGTGCATTGGGGACTCTAATATTTAGATTACATTAAAGTTAAAAAAATATTATTTAATCAGTGTGTTATAAGTTATAAAATAACGTATATGAAAAATAGCTACAAAAAGTTAAAGGCCCAACTAATATGTTGATCTGTTATGGCACGAGAAGTCTATACAATGAAACACAGGGTTGTACTAGTCAACGACATTAAAGAAAACATTTAATGAAAATAGGGCTAAGGTCGAAAATGGACCACCAGGTTATCTCTAATTACCTAAAAGGTTGTATTTAATATTCTACTTTGAAACAAAATTTGTTTCGGCTATACTTTTTCATTATAGTAGTAATCCCATACTAGTCTTATCTACTGTTACTACTAACACTTATGTGACGTCAGTACCTACTCCTGAGCTTTATACTTGCTAGATATTTAAATGTATTTAATGATTAAAACAATACTAGAGCCTACACATTTCCTCTAATACGAATAAAAATAAGAAATCATATCTATTGTATAATTTACAAAATAAGATAATGTCGTCTAGAGTTTTTGAGGCTACTAGTGAAAGTGTGTTGTAAAAACAAATAATATACTTATACATCTAATCTTTGATACGCGGCAGTTACTAAGATTTTTAGTTCCGTAACCACTTCAAGAGTTTGAACATTATGTGTTCCCAGAAATATCTGTCCCTTTGCAGTCAACACCAGCGATCAGGTTTGTAAGTAAATTATGCGAACGAAAAATGGCGGTAGACGTCATTTTAGTTAATTGATTTTATTAGCATCCTTTTTTTCCTTTTGGTTTTTAATTACCTTTTTGGGCTTCAGAAGCTGGAAGTTCGTTATCACTAGCCGATGCCGTTTTAGCGAACAAAATAAACATCCACCAGAATTTCACCATTGCTCACTATGAAAAACAATCACAAATAAACCGGGCTTTATATATTTACTTGATATCGGGTGCTATTATAAAAAATAACTGTCAAAAATGACACGATTGCCTTCCTCTCGGCGCGAAACCGTAATACAAAATAAAGCATGGAAGCTAAGACAGCGAGAAGTGCAGTCTTTGGAAAATAACCCCCGCTTGAGCCGATGGTACTTGTTCTCTGACGATTTCGCGACATATGCCTTGATAGTACTTGCTAGAAGCCAGGTAAATGGCGAGGGGACGATTTATTAGAGCGAAAATGGCTATTGCAATGTCTTGATTATGGGATCATTATAAGATAAACAAAATATAATAAAGATTAACAATGATGAAAAAGATGACAAAAGGGAAAGTGACGGCAAATAGTGTTAAATTGGTTGGGACGTTTTTACATTAGTTTCATTAGAAACTATTTAGGTGGTGCCATCACCTTTCTATTGCATTAAAAAAGAGACTTAACTGCAATTTTCAAACAATTAAAGGACCGAATGGAATCGTATAGCTAAGTATCAGTAAAGCTCTTAGCTCATCATGTTTTGTCAGCACTTATATCTCATCAATTTACCATCATCAGATCGGTAAGGTACAAAGATTTGGCGAGTCAGGGCTGCTGACTCGCCTAATCTATTTAACTTACTTACCCTACACAGGATTCTCGACCTTACACTAATTAATATATAAATAGTTACCAGTTAACCAGCTTTTGCCCACGTGCCGCCCGCAGCCGTCAGTTAACCTGGTAAAAAAAGTCTATAGCACTCAAGAATTTTAGAAATCGGATCAGTAGTGCCGGTGATTACCTACAACGAACATACAAACTCACAAACTGTTTATGATATTTGTATAGAATAGAATAAGATAAAATAGATGTATTTAGAAATATATAAGTATGTACAGGTTTGGATAAGTTTGGGATCAACCGTGCGTGAGAGATATGAAGTTGTAATTATTTTATTGTTATTTATTTATTTACAACTTTATGCACTTATGTACAGCGGCAGGCTTAATGCCCAAGGCATTCTCTACCAGCCAACCTTTGGGGGGTGTAGAAATCTGGTGAGGTAGGTGCACTGAGGTTGCAGTTGCTATAGCAGTTATAACTAACATATACAATTACACACATACATACACACATACACGCATATACATATATAGATATAAATACACATAAAATACATATGTATACTTTATATTCGTACACTGTAAATATGGAGGTGTACTATTGAGTAGGTAATGTGCTTTTTAATGTGAAACGGTTTGTGGACATCCTGATCTCAAGTGGGAGCGGATTCCAAAGTTGTACTGCTTGCACAAAGAATGAAGAGTTCACAAACTCGGAATTGTGGGAGGGACAAAGGAGAAGCTAATTATTTGTTGAGCGAAGATTTCTATCGTGATTAGTGGACAGGAACCGCAGATAGAGATCAAGGTAAGTGGGTGAGAATGGGGAGTTGAGGAATGAAAAGAGAGAGGTCAGCGCTCGCTGATTACGGCTCAGGCGAAGGGGCAACCATTGCAATTGGGAACGAAAAGCAGAGACGTGGTCATACTTACAAAGATTAAATATATATCGAATGCAGTTATTGAGAAGACGGTCTAGCTTGTTAAGGAGGTCTGCATTCAGGTCGAAGTAACACACATCACTATAATCAATTAAAGGGATAATTAGGGACTGCATGAGTGAGATTTTCGTTTTAGGTTTCAGGAAATTCTTATGACGGTGTAACGTTCGCAGGTTTCCGGTTACTTTCTGACTCACATGAGTAACCTGAGCACGCCAGTCAAGGGTTGAGTCGCTAACCCGATTTTGAATATTATGGCACATATTTTTAATCATGCTTACATCTATGTTTAGTCTTTAACTAGCTGACCGGCGCAACTTCGTCTGCGTCTCTCAATAGTAATAAATTTTCTCCGTTTTTGAAACATTCTTTATTGGTGCTCCGCTCCTATTGGTCTTAGCGTGACGATATATAGCCTATAGCCTTCCTCGATAAATGGGCTATCTAACACTGAAAGAATTTTTCAAATCGGACCAGTAGTTCCTGAGATTATCGCGTTCAAACAAACAAACAAACAAACAAACTCTTCAGCTTTATAATATTAGTATAGATAGGATCTTTTTTTTATAAATAATATAATATTTTCGTCAAATCATAGTATAAATAGCATTGGGATTTTTTTTTAAATATCTTCCATACAATTTTTTAATGTCCCAATAACGATTTTTCTTAATAAAAGAGTAATTGTTACGACTATTAGTCGACTTACATAATATTGACTGTAGTCATTTAGGTCTCTTTTAGTCCATCATTTAAATAGTCATACGATTTATTCTTTAGAACGTTTAATAAAATTATTAAAATTCATATTAATGTTGTCCCAAAATTATTACATTTCGTTACTCAGTGTTAGTTACGTGAGTATAATTCTGAACGCAGTTGTTCGAAATTGACGGAAATAATTTTCCTAATATTGACAACATTGCTGCTTTTTATAATTCACCGTACATACAGAGGTCATTTTGTTTACATCCGTACACGGGAGTGATTGTGTTGAATTCGCATTTGGAAAAAAATATTGTGCTATTTTATGCCCACGTCTTAGTTATAATAATATATATAGACAAATAATAATAATATATATATCTATCTATCTATGTCTATTTATATTATATTATAATAATATAAATAGACAAATAAATTCAGTTATTGTGTAAACAATAAGTGGTACTAACAGAATTATTTTTCGGGGTTATAATTTCTCAGAGTTTGTCTTCAGTTTAGTTATATTGCGTTATGTTACGAAACTGAGAAATTGTAAAGCTGAGTTTACGAAGTTACTCTAATTTGATAAATTAATTATTATCTATTAAAATTTTATTACATTAATTTAGGGGAACAGAAGTGTAATCGTGGTACAATGCTGCTGTTGAACTAAAAAATAATATGATTGACTTATTATTTTACTATTTGTGGTGGGTACTTGTGCAGAGTAGTCAAGTATTTAGGATATTTTTAATTTAATTATAATTCTATATTTATTTATATTTTTATTTAATTATAATCAATAATATTATTATTTTATTAAGTTAATTCTTCAGTTACCAAAATATTTAAATAATGGAGCAGTACGTAACGTTGATAACTTTTTGTTACAAATTTGTTTGTTATGGAGATTTGAGACTGATTTTCATTATGAAGGATTATATTATTTTTAAGAAATATTGTTATTACTATCTTGCTTATTTTTTTTTCAATTTGGTCTTAACGGTTCTTGGCAACTTTTCTTTCGTTGCTCGAAATATGGAAGGGCCCGATTAAATTTTGACAATATTACTCCGATTCTTTAATTGATTTTTTAGAAATGTGTATGATTGTTCTTAGTTATTTTTCTGTTTTGAACAATAATTTGTAATTTAACGAGAAAACTTTAATTTAATTTAATTTGTAACTACTACTAAACCTACAATTGCATATTATACTCGTACATATTGATTCATACAATTGAGTTTTTTTTCATTATTTTGTAGCTGGATGGTCCCCCATAATAATTGCAATCAAGCCTTTAGGCGTAATGAGTAATTTAAATTTATTAGCTAAAAAATTATAATGTACTTAAAGAGTGCGTCCATTGGTACTTTTCTTATTGTCCTACTCCAATGAAAATACACTTTGTACTTGTTCTTCAAGACTAGCACTCACTGCACTACATCACACTAACTTAACTAAACAACTAAAAAGGCTTAGGGTTCTTTTGTCTTAATTATATATTCGTATCGTTGGAATATTCACTTATTCCCGTCGGGTAGGATGAGCCTGATTTAGATTTCTGAGATATTATGTTTTTATTTAGATTAATTATGCGTATTCTGTTCAGTATGTACCCTGCTTTACAATATCAGTTTCGTCACATTGATTCTCCATTTCGTTACTTATCAGTTTATTAACAAATGGCAAATGTCCATTTTTTCTGAGTATGAACCATGTATATGCCAAGGCGTAGTTTTAATTGGCTTTATTCACAGAGTTCCATCTTATTTAATTATTTGATCTGAGCTTATAGCACGCATTATGGTAAGCAGCTACAGAAGCCGACGAAAGTAAAATACGGATATTTTACGGGTTGTCGATATCCTATAAAACCGTTATCGCCATATGCACGTCGACCTTATTTGACATAAAAACACATACTGGCTAGGCCATCAATCCACAATCAACAAACAAAGAGTTATTTTTAAACATTCAAATTCTATATTTGTTATGGTTACAAACCAAATACAAAAGACACTTAGGGATAACTACACTGCATTACATGTTTAAAACTAAGGTGTCTTAACTAAAATTGCTTTTACATACTACATTTTAGGCTGTCTTTAGCACAGTGTTGGCTCTCTGGGGTTGGTTCGTAGTGGCGCTCCAGGCGTCCTTTGTCCTTTGCATCAGTCGCTACCAGAGGTCTTTCCTATCGAGCCAATCCTCCAAAATGGGATTTCGCCTGGAATGGGATATTTGGGAATCCCGAATTTAATAAAGTAATTCGAAGCTTACAAACGTTTGCATTTATTTTCGTACACCGATCAATAGATGTTACTAAAAAGTACATAACAATAATAATTTATCAGACATGCAAATTATGAGAATGTTTCGTTTACGTTTCGATTTCTGTTTTTGCCGCCCGCTTGAAAATGCCACCAGTGCACGCGTTGAACTCCCGCACCCGGCGGCCCTGCTTTAGCAATATATCCGTATCTTCTGAACTAGTTGAGACTGTGACTGAGAAAGTAAAAAGCTTAGAAAAAAACTTTACCCACTGACGGAGTTTCCCTTTTAGTATCAACACAACTGTGTGTGTTTATTTAAATTAAATGTAGGTATAACGTACTTTTTTAGACCATCCAAAATATACAAATCAAGTCATCGACATTATGTGACTTGGTAAAAATATCCTTATAACAGCTTCAGTCTAGT